GCCGCCATGCCCGCACGCATGTTTGAAACTACTCGCCCAGCCGCAGCCTTTGAAGGCGACTCCTTCTTTACGGGCAGTTATGCTCATGGCAATCTTGTTGGCATTAGTAATCGTGCACGGAACTACCCCAATGTTACTACTTACTTGACTGCTTTCCTCAAACAGCGTACCTCGCTGCCCTTCGCCAGTGTTGGTCTAGTAATAGGGCGCAACACTGTTGTTCAAAAAGATGTCCATAACCAAGTTGGCACGAGCAACTTACTCCTGCCCGTCACTCTAAGACGGGGTATGTTTTGGCAGGCGCAGTTCTCCGGTAAGGGACCGCGATTTGCACGCCCCGACCAATCTCGCATGGGGATTTTGCAAACCTTGGCAAGTGACCAGCTCGTTACGTTTGACCCAAAGAGCTACCACCGGGCACGTTGGATGAAAATTCCATCCGTTTAGTATAGGGCACATGCCCCGTGAGCTACATCAGTTGCCCTTGCAAGACCGCGCGCTTTTGGCGTTGTTGGGTTCCCCTATTCGCCTGCAGACAGTAGTGAGTTTTGGTCATGTGACGAAGCACGCAATCATCTCGTTCGTCATCATCCTGTCAGTCGTACGACGTGGTTTGCCCCTACTGAACACGATCCTTTGCCTCTCAACCCTCGCCTACAGTCTAGCGTGGCTGCCGTTCAGTTGGTTCATTCTTCTGGAGTGGCCAGAACCAAATTAGTTTCTGTTTAAGGCACCTGCATTTGATGACGTTGCTGCGTTGCTGACCACCTCGCCTCCAGTGATACAGAGCCCATCCCTGGGCTCGGGGGAGGGCGGTGGTAAAGGCAAGAATGTCGGGGTGGAAATAGCCAGGATAACGGAGACAGCGCGTCAGGATTTAAAATTTTTGGTGCTTCACCAAAGCGCAGGATCGGGGGAGCATGACCATGAAAGTAGGGTGAATATTCAGCAAAGAACTGAAGCCGAGGAAACAACTCCTTGAAGACTTTTCCTAATGACAATCAAGCTGCTCAAGTGTGCTCAATTGAGGACCTTGAACCTGACTGGCATAGTAATGCACCGCCTAGTCATGGCGACCCGGAAGAGATGATTGTTCCACCTTCCTTGCAGTCGCTGACCCTGCGTCCAGTTGAGAAGCCTTCGGATGTTGCCACCTCACATTGCCTATACGCGACCATTTGGCCAGTTGAAGTGGATTTAAAAGAAGTGGTTCAAAAATTTTCGTATCATAGGTGCTTGATGGGCCAGGAATTGGAGTTGTATGGGTTAGGCAAAGCATTTTCGGCCAAGATAGATACGGCTGAAATGGATGAATTTGTTCGGGCTCTAATAAGTTGTGAAGAACAAGCAGAGGAGTTGCGAAGTCATCTTGGATTGTGGGAAGATGGACCACACACTGTAAGGAGCATAACGCTTGTTGAGTCTCTGGAGGAGGCAAGTGCTCTTACAGTTCCTCCGTATGTCATCTTTCTTGGAGATGACAAGCGAAGGTCCCAAGGTTGCTAGCGCAGATGTAATAGAGGAGAGTTCAGAAGTTCCTCTTCAAACCCGCACAATTCCTCTAGAAGAGGTAAAAGCCAAAATCGAAAGATGCAGAGCTTCAATTGAAACCGAGTATGACTCTGGGGTTAGTAAAACCGAAGCCGTGGAGCCGTTGAGTGAGGAAGCATTCCAAGAGCTGCGTAAGACTCATGTGGTCGAGCTCATTTCTGAAAAAAAGGTCCATACAATTAAGGCGTACACCGGTCGTCTCAAGACGAGAGGAGTTGGTTGTGGAAATTATCAGCGTGGTGAGAAGGGCAAAGGTAGATACTTTCTCAGGAGGGATTGAATCTCATAGCCTGCGATTAGTACTACGCAACGTTGCCATCCGCCAGTGGAAAGTGGGGACGCTGATGTCACCACAGCCTTCCTCAACGCTGATATTGTGACTCCCAACAAAGAAGTTATAGTAGTAAGAGCCCCCGCAGTGTTTAGGATGATTGGGATTAAGGAAAAATGTTGGAGAGTACGTCAAGCTCTCTATGGCCTTGACGTGTCTCCGAGGTCGTGGAGTCTCAGTAGGAATAAGACTCTTCGCCAAGTAGAACAGCTTAAACCTGCAGCTAGCAATAAGGCCGATCCTGAATCTAAGAATCATGACCAGGATGCCCAACTAGTTAAACAGTTAAAGAGCAGTCAGCTGTTCCGGAGCCAGTAGTAAAGTCTCCAGAAGAATTTGCCGCGTCAATCAACAAGCTTGCACAGCTTGAAGGCGGAGTTCCCACCAAGTTTGTTCAAACGGCAGAAGACGCAAATGTCTGGAAGGTAGTTCTACAGGACGCCGAAGAGACTGTCATAGGGGCCATTTGGGTACATGTTGAGTTGATGATATCCTAATTACACGTCAGGACGAATACGCTGGACGAATTGCTAGAACGTTGAGCAAACACTGGAAAGCCACCAAGTCTCAGCGGTTGGACCAGGAAGGTCTGGCGTTTCATGGATTTGAAATGAAGCAAGAAGGTACCGCCATTATTCTCCATCAGCAGAATTTTGTGGCAGAAATGCTTAGCAGGTACCAGCATGTCGAGGGTACTTCTAAAGTACCAGCGCTGAAGGTCCCTTGGCCGGAGTTGCCAGAAGACCCTGAAGTTATAAAGGAGCATCTTAAAGCCGCTCAGACGGCAGCCGGTGAGCTCCAATGGCTAGTCGGTCGCACCAGACCGGACCTTCAGTACGCAACGATGCTCATCAGTCAACTGCTGACTTCCAACCCTATGGAAGCATGTAGAAGGGCCGAAGTAGAAATAAGATACCTCAGGTGGTCATCGAAAGTAGGCCTAAGGTATGACCGGGCTCCCAACAATTTTGGTAAGTGGCAAGAACTGGCTTGGATGCGAGACGAGTCGATGTTAGAGTCGCTAAGTGATGCATCCTTTGCCCCAACGGGTGGTCGAAGCATAGGGGCTGCTCAAATTTTTTGGGCAGGTAGATTAGTCTCCTGGTGTGGAGGGAGACAACCCTTTGCAGCAGCAAGTACGGCAGAAGCCGAACTCCTGTCTCTGACGGAGGCATTTATGCTTGCAAGAGCAATGGCGCCATTAATTGCCGCATTCCATAAGTTTGGGGAGGCAAAAGGTTTTTTGAGAAAAGGCCTGTACACAGATAATACTGCTCCCCTTCAGTTATGTCAGCTGGAGTCAGGCTCGTGGAGAACCAGGCATATCCGCCTGAGGGCGACAATAGTACGTGAAGCGCTCGAGTGTGATGACTGGAGAGCAGCTCACCTACAAGATTTGTTCACGTCTGCTGGCGTAGCCACGAAGGCAGTTGGACCGCAAAGGTTAGCGGATCTTACGCGAGTGATGGACTTGCATACTCCTCTCATATGGAGGAATGTGAAGATCCTCCAGCAGTGGTGAAAACGCCTTCAGTGGCAACCAAAGCTTTGGTTGCCCTGTTGCTCATTGAACAGTTGACTTCAGCAAGCGCTAGGTCTGACACGCAGGAGTGAGATGGGTCGGTCAAACCAAGTGGGCTCGGATCTTGGCAGTTCAGTGTGGCCATGCTATGTCTGCTGTGCTCAAAGTTCGGAAGATTCAGAGAAGCTTCACGTCAGTTTTTTCATGACCAAGTGAGTCGTATGAATCAATTGACTCAGACAACGCGATGCGTGGTTGCAACGGCATGTCTCTGCAGAGTCTGCATGGCAAGTCCGAGTGATACTTCGGCTGAGTCATCCGAGTCCTATGACAATTGGTATTTGGTAGGATGCATTGTTACCGTTGTCTGTGCTTGGGAAGGGCTCAAGACTCTAGTTCCTAGAGGAACACGGAAGGACAGCGTGCCTTCGAGCGAAACTAGAGTCGGCTCAGAGGAGACCAACATCCTCCAGCCAATCAAGCAGGTAGTCCCAATAAGGACTCAAACTCAGGAGGTAGTTAGTCCTCAGTTAGAGGCTTTGCTGCACACCCGTACCAAGCAAGCGCAGACGATTCGCGCCTTGCAAGGTAGAATCATGATCTCCAAGCCATACGAAACTGGAGACCTACTGCAAACGCAGTTGGTAATATCTATTTGTGTCCTGGAGGAACAGTGTGGCATGCAAGTGAACTTCGCGGTCGCAATCGGACAGAAGGGGGAATTGTAGTCCGTCGACCCTGCGCCCATTGTGGGGAGGAACATATCCCCATGCCCCAAATCTTACAGGACATCCTGTATCCAGAGGCCACAACTCAACCCAGCACGACTCATTAAGTTATTGCAAGTCCGTAGTCAATGAAGTGAGGTCAATTTTATGACCTTTCAAGGAGATGCCGGGAAGGCATCCAGCCTTAAAGATTAAAGTAGTAAGCCAAGTTTGGGTTCGTGTTGGCAAGCCCTGGAGCGACTACATTGTACATAGTAATACCCAGTTTACGTCCTGCAGAATGCAGAAGTATGTACATGTACACTTTCCGCAGCCATCTATGCCTCTGAGTAGGCAACCAACAGATACAGTATTAAGTACAGGGTCATAGCAGTAATGCATCATTTTTTGAAGCTGTTGCTTGTGTGTTCTTGCGTGTGGTAAAAAGCTTTCTTACTTGTGTGCCCTGCCATATTCCTGCACCAGCACTAGTAGTAGTAGTAGTAGTAGTAGCAGCAGCAGCAGTAGCAGTAGCAGTAGCAGTAGCAGTAGTAGCACTAGTACTACTAATGGTACTAATGATTAGTAATGGCAGTACGAGGAGGGATCCCTTGTTTCAATTTAGAATCTCAAACAAGACTGCGTTTAGAACTACATTTGTAACGTCGTCATTCGCAGCGATAGACAGTTAGAAGAAAAATACAATGGCAGAAACAGGAGTGGTAGCAGCGGCAGCAGTAAGCAGTAAAAGTACCAGTTGTAGTAGCAGAAGCAGCCGTAGCAATAGACGTAGTAGCTGGAGGAGCAGCACTAGAAATAATGGAAGGAATTGTACAAGATTTCGGATGTCATGCATCAACACTTGACGCAAATCACCTGGCCTTCCAGGCTATGCCTCCTTCGATTCGTCAAACCTTGAAGAGGCTTGAAGAGACATGCGAAGGGAGACCTATAACAATGGATGCCACCATCTGCAGCCTAGGCTCTGGGGCACCACGGAATCGTAGAGGATGCCGCAAGTCCCACAAACCTCGTTGCATCAGGGTCAGGAACTTTGCAAGCAATAGTATATGCCAATCAGACAGTTTCTGGAAAACGTTAAGCTTTGCAAAGCAAAGGGAAAATGGACAGTTGCACTCAAGTGTTGGCAGAGCTGCTGTGACCTCCTTGGGGCCGCCCTTGCAAGCAATGCCTTCCAAGGTTACAAGTTTGCCCTCACAGTGTCTGTTTTGTGCGACAGGCAGTTGCCTTTGTCTGGCTCATTGTCAATCCCGCAGTGCTGGTCCTCATGCTCTCGCCGCAGGACACGGATGTAGCCTTGGCTTTCTCTTCAGCACCCCCAGTGTTACCAGACACTCGCTTGTGTTGAGTGGCACAGATGAAGTTGAAAGGCATGTCGTGCCTGTGGCAGGCTTTTGGGCTTGGCTGACTGACAGCCCAGAAGCCGAGTTCACCCCAGTCCGAGCCCCAGCTGTTCTTCACGAGCCACCATCGATGCGAAGAATCCCTTGCAAGAAGTAAACAGGTGTGTGGAGGTGCAAGACAGCTATACCCGTGTAAAACAGTAGGACTTGGCCAGGCCTGCCATACCCGTACAGGGCAACAGCCTTGGTCAATGTTTCAGGAAACTTTACCTTCCTTCACCAGTGAAGGCCGCCCTAGACTTCAAGCAATCGCAGTACCACCAAGCAGCGTGGTTTACAATGTTGTCACACTCGTCAAACACTCCACCTAAGCTGTTGCACGCTTTCCGTGCAGACCTCTTTCTCCAGGAGCGTTGGAGATTGCATTGGTCAGTACGCAGCACACTTTAATCTCAACTGGGCTGCCATCATAGCTGAACCAATTGCTTGCTGCCACAGATATGGCAACAGGTCCTGAAATAGTGAGTCATATTCAAGGCATGCAAGCAGATGCTACAAAACGTTGACTTCCTCAATCACTTCTGAGACCCCTGGCCTAGCTCCACAAGCGCTCGGGCCAATGGCTCCTCGAGTCTGTTGCTGAAGGAAGAATATGCATCGAGTAGCTTCCCACCCCCGCGGCAGTCCTCCTTGTTGCTGGGTAGGACCCTGAAACCGGTCCTTGGCTCTCACTTTGCAAATACTGCACCAGGGCGCACAAAAACCAACAAAAACTTTTCTGGTTTATATACATATATGTCCAATGATACATGTGCATATACACATACGGTAGCAATGCGTCATGGACAATCGAGCCTAAAGGAGCATAAGCTCCTCCTTGCAGCCAGCGCACAACCCGAAGGCAGCTCCTCCAGCTGTCGAACCTCGAAGACCCTGGCCCAAAGCAAGTCTCGTCTGTAAGCGCCACAACGACTGGCCCTCCGACATTTACAAACTTGCAAGCAGAGCTCAACAGCCCTTCCCACAGAGAAGGGTGCGTCAGCGACGCAAGTGCTTGCTCTTAGCATGAACTCACTCCCAAATGTTCAAGAAATGGATACCCGCGGGGTCAGGCTGGGGACCCTGATCAGGCGCGGCTTCCACGGAATTGTTGTGGACATCCGACATCCAGGCCAGCAAAGTACGCAGACAGCAGATTCAGCTCGCAAAAGCAGCTGGGCGTCCGCTCAAGTGTTTCCACAAGACTCCCGACAAAGCAAGGGCTCTGTTCGTGGACATGAGTGGGTCTTCTGAAGTCGGGCACCTTTTTTGAAAGCTTTTGACTTCAGCGATTGTGCTTGATTCATGCAATAAAACGGATGCATGCAAGAACGCCGACACAGCAGTGGCTCGTCTTTCGCAGCTCCGTGCGTAGAAGCCCCCACATGAGCATCACTGTCCCAAAATTCCTTGTCTTTATGGATGGCATTTCTATTTTGATGACAGGATGTGTCTTGTTTTGCCAATAAGTTCCACAAGTACCTGTGATCAGCAGCCTGAAACCAAAAACTGGTTCCCCACACTCATGCTAACCGCCAGAACAACTCGATGGAACATTAATGAAATGAATGAGCCCATCAGAGCCTGAACTGAAAGGATTGACTAAATTGGAATCTGCTCAGCAGCCTGCACTTGCAGGAAGGAGTTAGAGCAGCTGTCATCCTGGCAATGCCAAACAGCGCGCAGCTGCAGCAAGCATCAAAATACTGTGAAACATCAAAATCCTACAACAATCGCAAAGCCACTCGATTCGACTCTGCCTGGGCCAAGTACGGCACCGTCGTCTCCAAGCTCAGACCATGCCTTCCCGGGTTCCAACGAATCATGCTTTACCTCACCTTACACAATGTATCTCTTCCAAGGCACTGTACTGCCCAGCCGATGCCCAGCTCCACAGTGGCCCCACTGCAGCCACCCTGTCCATTTGGGGGTTCGTGGGTTTTGGGGCATGTTTTCCGGCATATGCCGAATCACTTTGCGCCAGCAGGCAGTTGGGCCGAGACTTGACAGGCACTACGTTTACTCATCAACCCTGTACCATCCCAAAAGACTGCCATGAAAATTTCATCAAAAGCCGACTGCTTCAGGACTGCCTGACCGCCGCATTCTTGAGGATTGGGAACCTGATTGTGATCGGCCAACTCCGAGGGTTGGACCAAGCTCTGAAGTTTGAAGAATTGAGTTCCAGGCGCAGTTTACCAACTCCTGGCTGGAGAATCTCCTGCAAAGCTTCATCAAGGCTGAGGCCTTCTACTCATGTGTCGCCGCAGACGGCTGGGAACTCCGGATGCTTCCAACACGGGATGCGAGATCCTTGCCCGTCCACGGTGAATCTCACTGTGCGCGTTCAAGACGGTTGTGGCACCTTTAGTTGAATGTGCTTTGGCCTGTATCAGTCTGAATGGCCAGACACGAGCGATTCCTGCCCAACTAGAGTGGGCTCTTCCTAGCATATCCCTCAAAACAAGATCTGGGAACACTTGGCAGCCAGGTGGCTAATGGCCCAGCACGAGCCACCTTTGAGAAACACTCAATGCAAGTTCTGTACCGCTAAGCCGGACTATTACAAAGTGGGGAGGGCTTGCCACCATGTGCTTGGGACAACAAGTTGGGAATATGACAGAAAGAGACAAAGAAAGAGAGAGAGGGAGAGAGAGCGAGATCAACACAGGCTTGACGGTGCCTTAGATAAGTCCGAGCGAGGGACAACCCCCCTGCTCCACAATCACGTGGGCATCGCTCAAATGGCGCCAGTCCACCTGAATCTTTACAGGACACGTGCTGAAGGCTACATCTGCAGCGCAGCATAGGTCAAAGATCACAGGCATCAGCACATTCAAGTCTGCAGAGCTGCATGTTGCCTTGTCCGGGAGGGCCGCTTTCAAACGAGAGTGGTCCTCCTCCTCCAGAGCATGAAGCTGGGCAGGGTGGAATCTAGCGGACCACAGAGCAAAGCCCGCCACCGCCCGCTACCCCGCCACCACTGCCAGCACAAACGATAACAATCCAGAGCTTTGTTCCTAGCAGAAGCGCCCAAGACCAACCGAACTTCGCACCTCTGCAGCAAAAGAGAGACCTGACGACTGCCGTACCTGAGTTTGGGCAACGAAAATAACTGAGAACCTACATACACTCTCTCGGCAGGGCAATTGCTTCAACCTCGGTTTTTTTTTGACCTGTGCCTTCGTGAGTACCCAAAACAACCAAACCCAAACAGTCAGAAGCACTCAAGCCTGTGCGGGCTTGTAGCCGTGCATGAGCTTCAGCTCCTCCTCCTGCATCTTCACAAGCTATCTATCTGAGGAGTCACAGCAGGGCAGCTATAGAACTCCAGAACATGTTTACTTTCATCAACTTCCTTGAGCTTGATTAGCTGTGGGAGCGCAGATCTGGTACGGTAATCACCCGAACGGACTGGCAAACCGCTGAAAACCATTGCAAGCTGCCTTGCGGTCGGAAAACTTATTGATCGCTGCAGACCACTTCGCATCAGACCTTCACAGAACTTTAGAAGCACAAAGGCATGTCACATAGTCCTGAACCTTCACCTGCAAAAGCGTCTTGTGAGTTCAGCACATCTCAATTTTCTTGAACGGAGTGAGCTGACTGCCGCTGCCTGTTGTTTTGCACTAGCGCTGCCGTTCTGCGAGCTTCAAAGAGAGCAGCACGCTCATGATATTCCTGGCAGGCTGGCCGCTTGGCAATTGGAGTTCATATGTCTGAAGGGAAGATGCAGCCTACCTCAAAAAAAGGATCGGGTCCTGAGACCCTTTGCTGTAGCTTCGAGCATGCAGAGCAACAAAGTCATCGAAGGACATGGACAAGGCGCCTGGCTTGTTTGCTCGTTTGGGTACTTTACTTCATTCTCCATTGCAGGTCGCCAAGTGGTCGATTCCGTGGCACACAGATGAAGGTCTGACTGGCCTCTGGTTGAGTGAACCTGCCGGGCATCTGAGGTTTTCAACCACATGGCCTTCAAGCTCAAGTGCTGTATGCTTTCCCTAGGGCCTTCGCCGCAGAGCTGCCAACGGCAAAGGACGCCAGGGCGACAAGCAGCATTTGGGGAGCGGCCTGGAATAGAATGTCAGAACCGCGAAAACAGGCTGCCACAAACAAACCAGGATCACGCCCAAGAAGCCATGCCGCCAGCCACCAGCTGCAGCTTCATGTTATGGACGGAAAGGGCAGTTCTTAGAACTGCCTTGAGCTTCGCAGCAATGCCAAAGTCAGAGCTGAGCACAAAGGAAGTGGCGCAAGTGCAAAGGCAGGAAGATTCCAAGCTGTGTGTCTCAAGATGCCTGCAACCGCAACCCACCCTACAACTCCCTGCGACCTGGACCTTGATGATGCGCTCTCTGAACGCCTTGCAGACATGAAGCATCAAAAGGCTCACTTAGCGCGAAGCCAAGCGAAGTCAAGCACTCATTACTCATTGGGTTTCGGCCTGTCGCCTGGTGGTGGGAGCTCTGGCCTCGCAGAGATTCGCAGAGCGGCACAAAGCATATGTTGAAGGGGAATCTGAAGATTCTTGGATTCCGAGCATGCAGAAAATGAAGCACTGTGGGTCGCTTAGTGCGTGGCACGAAGCCCCCGGGCACGGGTACAGAGTTCATCAGGCTCCAGCCTTCGCGCAGCAAGGAAAATGGCTTGTTGCATGAAGCTCCGGCTTGCACCTGGAATCCTCTGCAAAAGCTAAGGACCAGACTGGTATGCAATTGGCGCTGTCCACATGATGCTCTCCGAACATCGCAAGACGTTCATTCAGAATTTGAGGCTACAGATTCTGAGACGAAGAAAAATCACACTGACAAAGACTTCATACGTGTTCTAACTTCTGCTGCTTAAGCTCAGTCCAAGCAACAATGTCCAGACAAAGGATAGCAACTGTGACTTCTGGTGCACGCTTTAGCGTCATGCTGAGTAGAATCTGAGATTTGATCGATTGATGCAAACCTCTCATTGTTAATCATGCTATCGCAGGGCTTGTCAATTTACGTGTCTAGGTTGAGATTAGGCTGAACGCTGAAGATGGCTTGACCGTGCATGCATTGGATAAAGAACGGTCTTTGATCTGCAGCGCAACATCTTGCCCCGTACTCCATAGCTCTCACGGTCTCATGATCATCTGCTTCAACTTATCCAAATCCCACGTTCACTGCACATGGGCTGCAGGCCATTCTTGAAGAAGGGTCGGCAATATAGAACCAGCTCGTTGCTTAAAGCACCCCGCCTCTTACTAATCCCCCATAGATCCGGCTGCAAGAACACTCTTACAAGTAGGGAAGACCTTGATAGAGATTTCGGTATAGCCATACCTGCCGAGCGTGCAGGCTGTCACTGCTTTTTCGTTTGCCACCAGAGAGCCCTGAGGCTCCGAGACACTTCGCCAGTCTTGACCTGGCCATGATCGACAGCAGGTGGGAAACAGAAACGTTTGCTCTGACCCCCGGAGAAAAACTAACCTGCCCTGTGACTGGAAGACAGCCCTAATCGAACCCACAAACCTGAACCAAGTTGCCCCAACCGCCAGCCTGTTTCCGGTTGAAAAGGGCCTTTGGCTTCTCAGTGCTTCCTCCGGTGTGCTCAAGAAACAAATTGAGACAAACACCTACAGCCCATTCAATGTACAAAGGCGGCGGCGTCTTCTTGGAGCTCTTGTCTTTCTCTCCTTCAGCCCACCAAGAAAGCATTTGCATGATGAACCTGCATCAGTAGCCAATAAGACCCTCTTCGTCCAAGAGTCTGTGCTTCTCATCTTCGTGATGGTCAGATTTGTCCTTTTAAACTTGCAAAGCCAAGTGCCAAGGGGCAAGAACTCATCGAACTCCGAATTCTGCGCATGTTTTGGGTCCTTTTTTTGCTTCTTCTTCTTTGGTGTTGGACTCCTGGAGTAGCTGTAGCCTCCAATGCTTTTTGGCACCAGCTGCTGATGGGTCTGTCATCGGCTCGCGCACCGGGGGCGCAGCTCTCGTCAGCTGTCCGTTTGTCCTTCTCACTTGACTCGCCTGGTGCTGTGACAGTCCCTTATGAACGGTATGTACACAAGCTTGCGTGAAGCATAGGTTAAGTGGGCAAGCGTGGGTAAATCTTTATCCGTTTCCCTGGGAAGCGACGACTCTGACAGTTTCACCGTGAAGGCACCGCGATGGTTTCTGACAGCTGTGCGTGCATGACATTTTGAGGCAACAGCCATCTGGATCTAGCTCCAGAAGCCTGCCAAAGCGAGGGCAACTTCTTCACACTCCAAGAGCGTCTCACACTGAGCTAGCTAACATGAGCACAAAAAATGCTCGAATGCCCTACTCCGAGAAACTCTCTCCGTCTCTGTCCATACACAGACAGCTGACATGGCAGCGTCCTGCATCGCTGGAGATCTTCTCGCTCCTCCTTGTATCACAAAACACAATAGTCGCACACAGGGGGTGGGATAGCAGATCTGATGTGTGTCAAGCTTGCACGGATACACTTGACGGCAGTTGAGCTGCAACAGCAAATTCCTGCTTCCTCCCAGAATCTAGATGATTGATGCAAGATTTCCGCCAGTCTAATGGGTGGTGCCACTGGAAGCACATTTGAAAGCAGCACCTGCTCTCCAAACCAACTCTGCTATCACTACAGACAAGGCTGATGACATGTGATCAGACGTGCAGCCTTGCTCATTTCTGGAAAATTGAAGAGCCTTGCCTCGTCGAAGAGATGCAAGTTGGCCAGAACTAGGCCTTTCGAACGTAAACCAACCTGAATCTTGGCTCCAACCAAGAGCCATGGGCTTTGGTGTTTGGATGAAAGACTCCGGACAAGCAAACCCCACTACGCGCAAGGCATTTCCAGTCCCTAAGCACGAAGCATCACGCATCTCTACAGCTTGACAGTCACTTGGGCGATCCCTGCCTACGAACGTTTGAACATGGATCATCATGGCAGCTACTGGCATTCTGCAACGGGTTGCAATTTGCAATCAAGAACCTTTGTCGCTGACACGAGACTCGACACCACGCATGCAACCCCTGGCGTCTGCGGCCTCAGTGCCAAGGCCAGACGCAAATTTCGATGCCCGCACCTTGGTGAACTGTAAACAGGGGAGGGAAGGTAAACGGAACACCAGATACCACAGCTCTTGGCACGTGAAACCCATTGTGCGTGAGAAAGTCAGAGGTATCATAACTGTTCCACTTTCCACAATCAGGCACAGCATTTAGGCAATTCGAAGAAACCGTCCTTGGGCCCGGACGATCTCGTAGACGGCCGAAGCAGCAAGGTGGCCTTTAACGATCTCGACCAAGGCCTTTGGATTCAGCTTGTGCATTTCGAAACTTGGGGACACAGGGCATGGCGAACATGAGTCTATGTGGGGTTCAGGCTTAGAGGCTGTAGACAAGAGAAGAGACTGTGGGCTTTAGCGGGCATGTCGACACTTGCACACTCGCTGGGTCCAGTTGCTTACCTCGTGCAGCCACCGCAATCGGCTAGATGGCTTTTTGCTGCTGACCTGGCACCAAATGTCTACAACGTCAATGCTGTCGAGAATGCAATGTACCTCGCTCTTGTCGAAGTGGCCCTCCGGGGGGTCCTGATACAAGCATGATGCTGCGCATACTGAGACTAGTCACACCACACGTACAGCGTCAATCCATGACAATCTTCGAAACTTACAGTTCCAGAAGATAATCAATCTAAAGTCCTTGACTTTGTCCTTGTTGCTCTTCCTTGTGGGTGGGGCTTCTCTTAAACAAAGTCTCTCCACTCCACATTGTCGTTAACTCTCTCAAGATTCTGACCAAAGCTTCTCTTCCTGCCGAGCGGCTTCTGCTTGGGTTCATCCCGCTCCTCTTCGTACTCCGAGCGGTCCTGGCACGTGTCTTGCACGGGCCTTAAGAAGCCTGCAGAAAAACCTTGCCAGTGGATCCTTTCCTAGAGCTGATCCGTGAGCTGCCTTCTCCTTCTTTCGCTTCTTTGGCGAAGGGCTTCGCGACTCGCTGCCGCCTCAGTGGTAGCCATCTCTGAAATGCCCTGAAGGACTTGGAAGTCGGTCGGCTCATGATCAACGAGATTGCAATTGTTTTTAGTGCAGCTTGCGGAGAAGACTGCACGTTATGACCATGCAAAAGGCTGTCAGGCCTCAGTCTACTCATCGCTGTGCTTCTTCTTGGTGGCATCAAGCAATGGTGCATTGGGGCCCTGGCCGTTGCCTGAGAAGTCCATGAGCCTCACAGAAAGCATCAACATCTGCACACTGCAGCACCATCCTGTTGCGCAATAACAGGCATCTTGCGCGCTTTCCAGGGTGCAAATGGCGAGGCAGGCAAGATAAGCACACACGCAGATGGCGTGACACAGCATTAAGAAAAAAGCGACCTTCCATTTTGAAGGCTCTTCTGCTGCTCCTGCGACCCGGGGTCTGCAAAACAGGGTCTGTAAGAGCTGAAACAAACTCGCTAATCTGTATTTCCGACAGGCCCAACTTGGCTGATGCACTTTCTGGCAATGCTTGCAGTTGGATTTCACTTCCTTTCAAACCCAGGACCTAGAGTGCTTCTGGTACAAAAGGTACTAGTCACTAGTCAAGGCTACAGCTGGATTGATTGTAGACCCTGCTGAGGCAAGCATGCACTGCTCCGGCGCATGCTGCGTTACAATGTCCCCTTTACGTGTCAGGACCGACTTGTGAGAAAGACTCCTGTGCAACAGGCTTACCTCGTAGACATGTCATACACCTGTGCAAGCGTGCTTGTGCGTGAGCAATGGAGCACAATGTGTGCCGGGGCCTGTAGTCCGAAATACAATGACAGATACTTCGGTAAATCACTACAGTTTCCATAATTTGCTGCCTTTTCATAGATCTTGGCTCAAGTACCGTTAGATTAAGATTCTCCTCCTGAGTATCTTAAGTTCAAGCTCACTGTGCTCGATAGGAAGTATCATGCATCCCCTTGCTTTGGTGTTCCTGTAGCCTGAAGACCTGATCGAGCAGGATTCCTTCCCTGTGCATCACATGCACATCCAGTGGCCCGAGCACCTTCTTAAAGAGATGCAGGTTGGCCAGCACCAGCCCCTTCATCTGCATCCCTACCTGGCTTTGTGACATGCATCAAGACAAAACGTGCCTGTGCAATCCTGCTCTGGCCTTGGAGCCAACGCCAG